TCATAATTACAATAATTCATGTATATTAAAGAAAAAGAAAACTGCTACAGAAAATGATCTGAAGAGACATGTTGAGCCATTAATTCATAATTACAATAGTAAGAACGAGATTGAGCTCGTATCAATATGCAGTTGCCTCAACTTTTATTTACTAGTCGGTGGACTTTTTTTACCCCGCTCATGAAGTTAATCTGCATTATTAAAAAAGTTCGACGAAATTCTTTAATTTCGACATATACCAAACCACACCATTTGCAATTTATTACACGGGAATGGATCGGATTGAGCAGTTACAATCACAATGGTCAACTGATGCAAGGCCCATCCATTGCATTAATGGCGGAGATCCATGCAGCCTATAGGGGATCGGATTCGGATGAGATTACGCCTTGAGAAAGGGTTTACAGCACAAATGGAGAAGCACGCAGCTCCACCTGGGGGGAGGGGCCAAAAAAGTCCTAAACCTTTTGCATTAGTGTCAATTTAGTCCTAAACTTTTTTTTGTGCCAATTCAGTCCTAAACCTTTTGCATTGGTGCCAATTTAGTCATAAACCTTTTAAATTGGTGCCAATTCAGTCCTAAACCTTTTGTTTTTGTGCCAATTTAGTCCTTCCGGTCAATTTTGACCGGAATTTGCCGACGTGGACACCTGTCGGTCGCCGGCCGGTCACCGGCGCCGACGTGGCGCTGACGTGGACAACTTTAATAATATTTTAATATTTTTTTGAATTTTTATTTTTTTTCCTTTTTTTTCTTTTTTTTCCACTTTTTTTTGGGCCCTCCTCCTTCCTCTGGCCGGTTGCCGGTCCGGCGACCGGCGAGCTCGACCTCGCCGGCCACTGGCGAGGGCGACGGCCTCGCCCGGCGAGGGCTAGCCTCGCCTTGGTAGGGCGAGGCTCGACCTCGCCAGATCCGGCGAGGTCGCACCTCGCCTAGCGACCTCGCCAGATCCGGCAAGGTCGGGCCTCGCCCGACCATGGAGAGGCTCGCCCTCGCCGCGGCCTCCGGCGAGGGCTCGATCCTCGCCTTGGTCGGACGAGGCTCAACCTCACCAGATCCGGCGAGGTCGGGCCTCGCCCGACCATGGCGAGGCTCGAGCCCTCGCCGGAGACCGCGGCGAGGCGCGACCTCACCGGATCTGGGGAGGTCGAGCCTCGCCCGACCAAGGCGAGCCACGCCCTCGGCAGGCGGAGCCGCCGCCCTCGGCGAGGCCGCCAGCCCTCGCCGATGGTGCGGCGAGGTCGAGCTCGCCGGACAGTCGGTCATGCCGGACCGGCGACCGGCCGGCAGGAAGGAGGGGGGACCCAAAAAAACAAGTGGAAAAAAAAAAAGAAAAAAAGGAAAAAAAATAAAAATTCAAAAAATATTAAAATATTATTAAAGTTGTCCACGTCGGCGCCAGTGACCGGCCGGCAGGCGTCCATGTCGTCAAATTCCCTATCAAAATTGATCGGAAGGACTAAATTGGCACAAAAACAAAAGGTTTAGGACTGAATTGGCACCAATTTAAAAGGTTTAGGACTTAATTGGCACCAAAAAAAGGTTTAGGACTAAATTGGCATCAATATAAAACGTTTAGGACTGAATTGGCATCAAAAAAAGATTTATGACCAAATTAGCACTAATGCAAAAGATTTATGATTTTTTGGCACTTTTCCCGACATTTGGGAAGTTGACTAAACCAGAAGTTTACTCTGGTAATTAACTTTCTACTAAACCCCCCGTCGCCTCACTCTCACTCCTTTATAAAGATGGCAACCAATTCCAACCAGAGTTTGTTATCATAATTAAGACATCGTTCGGTGTTGATTCAGGAAGGAGAAGCAAAAATGGAGAGGAGATGCGTGGGGCTGTTCCTGGTGTTGTTCGTCGTCCTTGCTTCTCGTAAGAACCCACTCACAATCATCACTCTCCTGATTTTCATCTTGTGTGTTTCTTGCTTTTCCTTGAGTAATCTTTCCTCAAGAAGAAATACCCACATCCCTATTCAATCCCATCAACGTAAGAATTTGTTTGCGGCAAGTTGTGCGATGGAGGGTACCTTTTGTTTCTGAAAATTCTTTTGCCAAACTATACACAAAGTCAATCATCGTGGATGAAGAAGTGACATTATTCGCAAGTGTGACATCTTTGACACCTATTAAAAAATGGCGCTTGTGTCATATGTTTTCCTACAGACAAATTACCTAATAAAAGTCTTATCAAAATTGGCGTTAGTCTCACGTGTTTTACTACGGACAGATTATCTAACAAAAGTCTTCATAAGTACTTTTATATTTTTTTCTTTCTGTGAAATTGGAATATACTTACACATTCAATAATAGACCAAGAGAAAGAAGTATTAAATAGGTAGCTAAAAGTCACAACCACAACGTGAGACTATTTTTTGGATATTTATTATTCTAAAATGTATATGATTATCTTCTTGCGAATCTCCTAATACTAGCACGATCGGTCTTTCTTCAATTGGACTGAAGATGCGAACTTAATCTAGTATGCGAAAGCTGAATAGGGACACCAAATAACGATTGAAATAAAAAAAAGAGACGAGAGTAGATCAGTCCATCAATGCCATGTCAGTTCTACAAAAGAAAGTTGAATAAAACAATTTTAATTTGAAAGCGGGCATGAGTGAGGGTTTTCTTTTAGCCCGAGACAGTAAGATTGAGCTGTCAAACCTTCTCTTATGAGCTCAATCCAAGTCCATTCAAGCCCGGCCGTTGACGGCGTTGGACCTAGGAAGCCAGTGGCGGTCCCGTCCCGCTCTGCATCGGGTCTAACTTGAACACTCTTGCATGTATGTGTGGGGTCTCGTAAGGATATTTGTGCAGAGGAGGCTGTGGGGGAAGGTGAAGGACGGATGTGCGAGTCACAGAGCCAAAAATTCAAAGGAATATGCATGAGCAGCCACAATTGTGGCCTGGCCTGCCACGACGAGGGCTTCGAAGGCGGCAAGTGCAAAGGCTTCCGGCACAGCTGCTTTTGCACCAAGCCTTGTGGAGAGGAACCATCACCACCTGGAGAGGAACCACCATATGGAGCGCAACCACCATATGGAGAGCAACCACCACCACTTAGAAAGCGACCACTACCTGGTGGGGCAGCCCAGGTTAATTAGGAATCGATAACTGCAGTAGTTAATTATCACGTAATAAGTCTATGTAAAATCATATGTCGAACCTATCCAGAGAGAAAATGTGCTATCGCAAACAATATCTCCATATATTGAAATGTTAGACGATGGTATCGGTAGTATCGATGACTTGTTGGAGTTTTTGTTTGGATCCCTTTCAAAGAACGAAGATGATGCCAATGCAATTTAGGACCTTAATTTCCAGATTTAGCTTTTAGATAACAAGCAGCCGAATTAATATATGGAGAGATGAATAGCTATAGGGAATAAAAGGTAGATTACTAGTAAGATCCTTAAGCACTTAAAGGCTGGGATGATTTCATTGGTTTTTAGTTTTACTTAGGAGCGCAACTTTTATCGTTCCATAATTCAAGAGTTGAGATGTATCCGCAATACTTCCAAACCACTTAAAACCCTCTTGAGACTCAAAAGGGCAAGAACACCTCCGTACTTTTGAGAATGTACAACAATCCTCGTCCTCGAATTTTCAAGGAATTGTTCACGCGTGTCTGTCTCCTCTTAAAATGACTCCTAAGATAGAGGAGTAGTAATATTTTATGGGGATACTTATCAAAAAAGTCCTCAATCATTGTATGAATACCAATTCAGTTCTAAACATTTTAATTTGACGAATTTAAGCCTAGAACCTTTTGACAGTTTGTCAATATAATTTTTCCGACTAATTTTAGCCGAAAACCGCTGACATGGGCATCGGCCATTTTAGGTGACATAATCGATGCTAACATGAATAATTTTTATAATTTATAAATATATTTTTCTGAATCATTCTCTTTTATTTCTTTTCTTTTCTTTTCTTTCTTTCTTTTTTTTTTTTTACTGTGGTTGCCGACCACATCGAGAGCATCGTGTCCGCCGGAAGGCGGCCCGGACTAATTAGGAGCCAATGACGGGGATTAGCTAATTGTCATGTAATAAGTCTACATAAAATCATATGTCAAGAACATCCGGAGAGAATATGGGCCTGTCGCGGACGATACCTCAACTTATGGAAATATTGGCAATGGTATTGGTAGCATCCTTGGCTTGGGTGACCCTCTTCTTTACCGTCACACGGGTTTGAGTTTTGGTTTGGATCCCTTGCACTGAATGAAGATACTGCCGACACAATTAAATACATTTACGTGCAGATTTAGTACATCGAGAACAAGCATCTGGAATAAACACATGGTAAGTCTAATAGCTATATACGATGAAACGTAGTTACTAGTAAGACCTTATACTTAGGCCGGGATGATTAAGTGCGTACATAACATAACATTTAAGTCATCATCATTGCCTACGTTGTCAAACGTAAATAAAAACTTCTCATAAATTCATAATGGGTCAATCTCTCCCCCCAAGTCAAGTCCACATCCGTCCAATACTGGACCACCGCATTAACCGGTGAAATTTTATCCAACCCACCAGTGTACTGAAACCAGGACAAACGAATGCCACCAAAATAGGACAAATTCCCAATCAGGTCGCCCAACGTATCGGAAAAATTACAATTTCTTTGCCGCGATCCACGCATGAATACTAATCTTGATCACCCCGATTAACTTTTATTATCTGCAAATACTGTATTAATCTCTATTGGTTTTTCGCCGCGACACACATATGAACATACTTCCTGGTAAGCTGTATTCGGAGCGATAAATTTCCCCTAACGATCTGCAACTCTCTATCGCTGCGAGCCCGATCGGCCCCTTCTCAGATAAGGGCAATCGAGTTTATCGATCAAACGACCAAAATTAATTCCTATTCAATGTTCAAAGGAAGGTTTAGCCCGGAAAAATATATATATGCTGAAAAAATAAGAAAGGAAAACGACTCATTGTACAATTCAAGCGTCGAGATACATCAACAATGCTTCAGAAGCACCTTCCGATGTTGAATATACAATACAATTATACCCTTCAATCATCATCATGGGTTTGTCTTCCCCTTCCCGGAAACCTCTTCCAAGTTGCTTTGCTTGCAGACAGTCTCGCCACGATTGACTTGGATTTGATGTCAGCTTCTTCCTTTCTGCCTGGACCTTCCTCGTCCTCCTTCACTTTTGTCTTCCCATGGCCTCTCTTTCTTCGAAATCCCCCACTCCCACAACCCAGTTCATATATCCGTCCCTCCCACCCTCTGGCGTACCCATCTCACCTCTCCTCCCCCACCGCCTACTACAATCTCTCAGGCCCTCCCCGCTTCCTTCGCGGTTCTTGGATCTTCGCCGATGGGGTCGCGCGGCCCGGCCTCGGCCCCGAGCTTCCACGACTTCTTGCCGGCCATGGCCGAGAAGCTCGGCGGGGACGGCCTGATCGGCGAACTGTGCAAAGGGTTCCGCCTCTTGATGGACGGGGACAAGGGGGTCATCACGTTCGACTCTCTCAAGAGGAACTCTGCTCTCCTGGGGCTGCACGGCCTGGGGGACGACGATCTGCGGTCCATGATGAGGGAGGGCGACTTCGACGGGGACGGGGCGCTGAACCAGATGGAGTTTTGCGTTCTGATGTTCAGGCTGAGCCCTGAGCTCATGGAGGACGCGGACTCGTTCTTGGAAGATGCTCTTAAACAAAGAACTCAAGGCCTTTAGATGATGATGAGGATGATCTCTATCTCTCTTCTTCTTCTTCTTCTTCTTTTCTTTTTTCCTTTTTTGAGGATAAGACCCGAAGGGCTGAACATGGCTGCCCGGGGTGGGCTTTTACAATTAAACCTGCAGAGCTTGTACCTTTGCATCAATGGTGGATTCTCACTCTCTCTCTTTCTTTCTCAAATAATTTTTATAGCTTTGATCTTTGTTCGAAGGCGCCACAAAATATTTTTGAGCAAATCAAAACGTGAAACGTGTACTCCGACATTCGTATCAGCAATTTAATAGTCCATGTTAGGAAAATCGACCGGCAAAAGAACAGGTAACGGAATGAGTAACACGGGACAATTTAAAAATATAGGTACCGTTTTGAAAATTAAAATTGTGAACACGAGGATTCAAGTCCTATGCAAAGAGTACTTAGGCCCAGATTGTTTTGCGAAAATCATTTTTCTCATTTTTTCAGCATTTGGATCCCTTAGAAAATGAGTCTTTCCTAATCAACAGAAAAAGTTTTCCTATAAAATAATTTTCTCTTTAAAAATCGAAAAATCATTTTTCAAATATAGTTAGATATCTACGCTTGAACTGAAAACTCTACGCTTTGACATGAGAACACAAAACGCTCATTCCCGGGTCCTTGGCAGTAGGGTCAAGACTAGAGGCAAAGCCAGGTCCCTAGCACCCTGGACCTGGTCTAGTGAGGACGGGCTCGAGACCTCCGTACCTCGGCCCGAGTCCATATAAGTCATGCCCATGACCCTGGTCGCCCTGCCCAAGACTATTGAGGTTGGGTCTGGGACACTAGTACCCGTGCCTAGGACACCGGGCCCAATAACATCGAGGCCGAGCCTCGAACACCAATATCGAAGTCTCAAACCCAGCCTCGATTAACCCAAGCCCGAGCGCCGAGGTCTGAAGCCCAGCCTCAATGTTACTAGGGCTCGCATCCCGGACACGAGCACTCATGACCCGAACCCAGCTACCATAAACTCTGCACATAGGCACGAAAATCCCAACGCTCGTTCCCAGGCCCACCCAATCCCAAGTCCATTAAGGTCGGGCCCGAGACCCCGATGCCTCAACCCGAGTCCATCCAGGTCATGCCCGAGACCTTGGCCGTCACACCCAAGACCATCAAGGTTGAGCTTGGGACACCGGTGCTTGTGGCAGGAATGTTGGCCTGGTAACATTGAGGCCGGGCCTCAGAGTCCCGACCCTACCTTGATTGACCCATTCCCCAACACCGGGTTTCAAGGCTCGACCTCGATGGACCCAGACCGGGGGGGGCGCCAGAGAGCCGAGCACGAGCACCGAGTTCATGGGCTCAATTTCATTGGACCCAAGACTATTGCCCATGCTTGTGCCCAGGAGTTGGGAATCCAAGCTTGAGACCCTAGTGCCTGTGATGGGTTCTTTACCAAACGACAGAAGAATATTTTCCAGTCCATTAAATATTGTTATTTTCTTGGAAAACGACTTTCCGGAAAACATGTCACATTTTTCATGAAACAAACGAAGCCTTAATATGTTCTTTTAAAGCTACTAATTACATGGATTTGAAAAAATAAAACGAGAAACATGAAATTGATAATTCAATTCACTAGCAAAGCAAATATCGAACGCAGTAATTCAATGGTTGATGGGTTACATTATTTTCGGAGAAATTTTTTAAAAAAAAATCCATAACCTATAGCACTTGTGTCAATTCAATCATAAATCTTTTAGTTTGGTCAATTTAGTCATTTCAGCCAATTTTGGCTGGAAATGATGTATATGCAAGCCATCCTACGTGGCACAATCAACACTAATATAGACAATATTTTCGATTTTTTAATAATTTTTCTGAATTTTCCTTTTTTCCATTTTCTTTTTTTATTTTCTCTTAATTCCCTTTGCTAGTCCACAGCCTCGGCAGTGGCCGACAAGGGCCACAACAATGTTAACTTAGTGAAGGTCCGCTGGGAACCCTTGTAGGCCTCAGTTAAAAATAAAAAGAAAAGCAAAAAAGCAGAAAAAAGGAAAAGAAAACGAAAAAATCAAAAAAATTATTTAAAAATTATAAAAACTATCTATGTCAGTGCCGGCCATGTCACGTAGGACGGTAGGATTATACGTCAACGATTTCCAGCCAAAATTTGCTAGATAAACGATATTGGCAAATTGTTAAAAAGTTTATAACTAAATTGGCCAAATTAAATGATTTAAAACTGAATTAACACAAGTGCAGCCATTATCTTCTATAAGATCACAACTCATATGTTCGAGTCATGCTGTGAACGAACCTCTGAGCAGCTTGTGACTTAGGTTTGCCGCCTCATGTTGGGAGAGTTCCCAACTTCTGGCACACTTATAGAGCTGCAATAACAGGCTCATACACCTCCATATGGATGAGTACTAATGGCTCATAAACTAAAACTTGCACAAAACAGGTGAGAACTTATGATAACGCTTATGATAAAGCCCAGAGGAATAGCTATGTTGGACGTCTCTCCTCGCCCTTTTTCACCAATTAAAAAAGATAATTCATTTGCTTCGCCAAAATAAAAAATGAAAAACCAACTATTTTAAAAGCATTGGATTCTTAAAATCCTTTTGCTTTGAGATTTGGAATTTGACAATTATTCCGAAACATTTTGATCCAAAGTCTACTCCAAAGTCAAAAGCAATCACTCGCCTATTCTCATGCAAGGGGTTTCAAGAGTCCATGATTGCATTCCTAGACTTTATCGGGCTCATCATGAGGATCCAAAGATTCCAGGTCCTCCGCAAAACATACTCGGTTGCGGCCGAAGGAGGTAATTGCTTGGAGTTGGAGCAGAAGAAACCAAATGGAAATGGAGGACGACCCAAGTCCTTCCGCGAAACAAACCACGCTCGGTTTTGGTCTTCTAAAGGTGACGTTATTGCTGGCAAAAAGAGAAGGAAGCCACCAATAATGAAGCCAAAAGGGGAGAGAGAGGGAGGGAGAGTCTTCGTTGTCGTCAAAAAGGACAAGGAGAAGCTTCTGACGTCTATCGTTATCTTTGTAAGGAACCAGGCGCAAGCATGTTAAAAAACTATAAAGTACTTCTCCGACAACCAACCCCTCGAAACACGTATCCTGAGAAATTATTGCCTGGCTGCTCAAATTTTAATGAACTTCATCTACCATCTTGATGTTGGTACTATGCATATGAAAAGATGAAAGAAAATTTTTCTTTTTAATTAAAAATTTAGATGTGCGAATATCGATACGTTAAAATAAGAATAAATAGAAGCTTCTAAGGTCCATCATCATCTTTGTAAGGAAACGGGAGCAAACATGTTAAAAAAAAGACTAAAAGAGTACTTTTCCCACAACGACCCATTCGAAACACACGTACCCTAAGTAATTATTGCCTGGCTGTTCAATTTTTAATGAACTTTCCATCTACCATCTGGGTGTGGATACTCTCTGCCCATAAACGTGGGTTCCTCATTGAACCGGGGTCCCATGGGTTCCTGTCCCGGGATCTGGTGTTCAGACCTCTCTGGTCCACACGGACACATATAGGATGCAACTTTGGCCTCGTGGTGTGGACTTGGCTTTGATCTTGACCGGCTCCACGAAATTGGATGTCAATTCATTGCAACAGAATGATACGGAAAGCGCCGACCATTATAATTGCCTTTTGACAGCTGACACCGTCTTGCATGCAATCGCCCTGTCGATGTTCATACCTTATCGTCAAAAACTTCTGGATTGATCCCGGAGACCCGAATAGATAACTAAAGGCAGTTGCATGCAAAAAGGGTAGGAAATTCTTGTCAAAAGAAAGCTTACCAGCAGTTTCCTGCTCATCGTGTACAAACAAGACGGCGCGTATATATGGCGCGAGTTTCGCCGTAATTTCAAACTCGTGGAGCGAAAATATGTGCGCTGTGCATGCATGTCCTGTATATTGCTAAGCTTAACAGTCACTTATTGATCTCTTCGTTCCCAATCTTCTTGACTCATTTCTCATTTGGACACAAAGGCATCAAGGGTTGACACCGAGTCAACTTTGGGAACAAAGGACCAGACAGTTGATTTCATGACTGAATAGTTGGTCTTGTGGGACTCTGCTGGTACAAAATTCAAGGTGCTTTTTTGTGGGCAAAAGATGCAAACCGAGGAAGGCCCATGAAGAATTTGAAGATGCACTTTCTTTTTCGTCGCATTACGTGATGCCAGCAAAACCCAAATCTGATGCAACTTCTGAGGTGGTCCCACTTGCAGTCCCACTTTCGATTTGAACTTTCCCTCCCCAGCAGGCACCAGGATCAATCATACGGTTGCAATAAAGAGGTGGTTGGGATTAGTTAATACACAGCGCAAAAGTTTTCCAGGTCTCAATGTGAAATGCTTTTATGCCAATCCTTTTCAATGAATCAACTTTCGATGTTTTTTTTAACATGAATGGGTTTTCATTCCCACAGATCCAGACATTCAGTTAGTGTCAATCCAAGTTCCCGTTGTCATCCACGTTCTACTACAAGTCAATTTTGGTTCTATTCTCTCTGAAAAAAGTTTGCTTTGGCTTATTATTATATGGCTCGTGGCGAGACCTTTCTCTTGGATTAGGTATTGGGCCATTTTCGTGTGTAATTAGCTGGTCTTATTAGGTCTTCAGCTTGGGTGCATAATCTCATAAATAAATACCTCAATACAGACAAGAGAATTGATCAATGGATGCTCTTTATCTCTTCCTATTTTTCAGCATCATTACCCTTCGTCACCTCCCAGGTTTCTGCACTGCAGCGGACACAATCGCTCCATCTGAGTCACTCAGTGATGTTAATGGAAGCACCTTATCTTCCCAAGATGGGACCTTTGAACTGGGCTTCTTCAGCCCAGGAAATTCCCAGAAACGTTTCTTGGGAATCTGGTACAAGAACATCCCAGCAAGAACTGTTGTCTGGGTTGCCAATAGGCTCAATCCGATCAATGACTCGTCCGGGGTTCTGATGATTGATGACTTAGGAAAGCTTGTCATCCTCAGCAGCAACAGCACCGTTGTTTGGTCTGCAAACTCAACTGGGACTGCACAAGATCCAGTGGTGCAGCTTCTTGATAATGGAAACCTTGTCCTGAGAGATGGGAATGATGGGGATCCAGGCACAGCTTACTTGTGGCAGAGCTTTGACTATCCCACAGACACGGTCATAGCCGAAATGAAGATCGGATGGGACTTAAGAAGGGGTCTCG